TATTTCTCACAAACTGATTTAGCTCTTCATGGATCGCGTTAACCCAAAATTCATCCCTAAGAGTTTCTTCTACTTTCTTAGGCTTAATCTTTGATACATAACTAGCATACGTCAAATTGTTCAAAACCCTCTTTCGGAGTCTCATTCCTTCATCCAAATCCCCTATAATATTCACTTTAGGGTGATTAGTCCTAACGAGAGACAAGGGTTTTTTAGGATGTTTAGGTTTATCATCAGATGTGGATTCCTTAGTAGAACTATCTAAATCATTAGAAGCACGTGGAGAATCGTGAATATAGGTTTCTTTAGGTTCAACTACCATGACAGGATCAACACTCAGGCGTTCCAACTCCACCTCATTACTTCCAGTCTTCCCCTCACTACAAACATCATCTACCACAACATTGATGGACTCCATCACAAGCCGTGTACGAGAGTTGTATACACGATAGGGTCGAATATTTCTGGAATAACCTAGAGAAATTTCCTCATCACTTTTAGAATCAAACTTACTCAAATTTTCTCTATCTCTTAGTATGTAGCACTTGCTGCCAAACACATGAAAGTACTTGACAGTTGGTTGTTTACCTTTCCAGATCTCATGTGGTGTCATATCAGTTTTAGATCTTAGATAAACCCTGTTAACAATATGACATGCACTGTTGATGACTTCCCCCCAGAAATGCATAGCAAGATCCCTACCATTAAGCATGGCTCTTACCATTTCTTGAAGCACACGATTTTTTCTCTCAACTACCATATTCTGTTGTGGAGAGATCAGCGAGGAGAACTCATGTTGGATTCCCTCTTCCAAGCAGAAGTTTTCAAGATTAGCGTTTTCAAACTCTTTTCCATAATCACTATGAATTCGTGATATTGTAAACTATTTGTCNTCTCTTCCAAGCAGAAGTGCTCAAGATTAGAGTTTTCAAACTCTTTTCCATGATCACTACGAATTCGCGATTAGGTAAACTCTTTCTCATTTCTAAGCCTTTCGCACAATGAGATGATTAGGCTGAACACCTTAGTTTTATCTCTCAACAACTCAATCCACGCGTATCGAGAGAAGTCTTCAACTACAACCAAGCTATACCATTTACTACCAAGACTTTCGGTCCTAGATGGTCCCATTAAGTCCATATGGAGTAATTCAAGTGGCTTGCTTGTCAAAATCCTAGAAGTATGTTTATGAGGAACTCTGATTTGTTTACCTTGTTGACACGGGCCATATACTGTGGTATCAGTATTTTCAAGTTTAGGTAAGCCGTTTACAAGTTTCTTCTTAGCGATTTTAGACAAACTTTTATAGTTCATATGGCCAAGTCGTTGATGCCGCATTTCAGTTACTTTAAT